AACCCCAGCGCCACCCCCTACGAGGAGTCTAGGAGGAACCTGCTCAGCAAGTTTGCTCCCCAGAACACTGGCCCTCCTTCCTCCCCCTGCCCCGCCTCCCCCTCCAAGGACCCTTCATCTGGACCACCTGCTCCCCCGAAACCAGGCAAGCTCAACATGGCCAACCTGCCCTTGGGGCTGCAGTCCAAAGTGAACCACGTGAAGCAAACGGGCGGGGACTACCCTACCCCCCCGCCTGCCTGCGCCTACTTCCCCCCTCCTCCTCCGCCCTCTGATCTCTTTCCCCCCCTCCTCCTCCTCCTCCGCCTCCTCCTCCTCCACCCGGTAGTGACTCCCACAGCGGAGCACCTCCTCGAGTTGCCGTGGTGAACCCCCAGCCCCAGGCCCCGCCTCCTCCTCCGCCTGTGCCTCTTCTCAGCAACTCAACATGGGGAAAGAGCTCACTGAAAAAGACTCCTCCACCGACACTTGCCCGGCGCAGCAACACGACCCCGGAGCCCCCCAGCCTCTCCTCACCCCCACCCACCTCCCCAAAGGGCGGCTCAGGCCAGCCCAACTTCATGGACGACCTCCACCGGACGCTGAAGCGAAAGTCGGTGGGACGCCAGGGCTCTCTGAGCTCGGCCGGCCTGATGGGGAAGGCGGAGCCCGTGGGGACGATGGACGACATGGAGCTGCCCCCCCCGCCCCCCGAGCTGCTCCTGGACCAAGGCAAGCAGAGCAACGGAGGAAACGGGGGCTACATGTCCGGAAACATCTCAGGCTATGCAACGCTACGACGAGGACCCCCACCTGCGCCACCCAAACGGGGGGACATGACCAAACTTACTTGAGAGAGTTGGACTTGGAGATCAGGACAATAAAGAGATGGATGAATAGACAATGAGAGATGAATATGGAAGCTCCTGCATTGCTCTTGGATCACGGTGATAAATTGATTACTGTAAATACTGAAACCCAAACCAGACCATGGTCCATTAGTGTTTATGTTTGGCAATCTGGATGGGTGGGGTTTACATGTAAAACTAGAGCAGGCAAGTTTGACATCGCTGAAAAGTAACTGTTATTTTTCTGCGATTAGTCTAAACTCTCTGGAAGACATTGTTTGGGAAACCCCGCCTATCTTGTACCCCAAGCAGATTCAAACACTAATAAGAATTGTGCAAATATTACTGGAACCATGTCTGAGCCAAACCATGTTATCCGCTTCTTTGCCATACGGTTGTGCCGCGTAAAAAAAAAAAAAGTTTCTGCTCGGTACTGCATGGACTCCATGTGAGAACAAGCGGTAAAAAAAACACGAGGCTGTTCTGGTGTGTGTGCATGAGTGAGAGCGAGAAACTGGACACGCATACATGCATCGTGTGCATGCACGGTGTACGGCGGGGAAGTAGTTAGTGGCGGCCTCGTGGAGCAGGGACGGTCTGCTTTTATATAAAATTATTTAATGATCGATAAATGGAAGGATTTTTTTTTGTTAATATAAGTCTGTCTTTCAATAGCTGGTCAGCAAAGTCTAGAGAGAAACAAAGGAATGTATATGGGAAGGTGTGTGTAAACATAAGGTCAACAAGGCAGTAATATATACATTTCTAGACTGTGTTCAGAAGGAGCCTTATCCCCAAAGTCTTGCACAGAGGTCAAAGCAGAAAGGAGATTTCTTCCAAAGGTTCAGCAGAGTCTGGACTGTGCAACCGGAAAGAAACAAATAAACTGCTTTTTTTTATTTAACAAAGGAGGTGGGGGCGGGCTGTGGTGGTGTATCTTCGTCGACCGTGTCCCGTGTTCGTTGGCTTGATTTCGGACCGTATCCTTCAGTTTCTGTACAGTTGAAGCTGCTACTCCGTTAGTCTCCGCCCTCTTCTACAGGCAACAGGACGTAGAATGTACAGGTTGGATTCAGACCATGTGAAGTATATACACACCCAGTTGAAAAAAAAAAATGTGTCTGGTTAATGTACAGAGCGTTAAATCATGATAACAGAAATCATCTGAGCGCCATAGCACTGAATGTCGCTCTGTCTCGTGTCTTCATGGTGCCGGTGATGCGCGGGGACTAAAGGCCTACAGAGTGGATATTAAAGGGTTTACATTTCTTGCAGCAATGCCTTTTCAGGGTGCTTGTGCTGTGTTTCAAGGAACTCATCATCAACTCGTCCCTGTGTGCCAGCATGACATATCATTAATATTTCAGACTGTTTAAACTGGTTTTGAATTGGCTCTAGTGTGGAAACGTGTGCTTGGAGTGATTTCCACACAAGGCCCTTTTTTATCATGCTATTATTTTGTCCTGCAAATCATTTCTTATAACTGCGTATCATTGTCTTTTAAGCAGGATGTGTGCTACAGTACAGTATGTAAGTTATTGATGTACTGTTGATGTGGGGCCAAGTGAAATGAAGAAAAACGGTTGCAGATGTGATCGTCTTGCATATAAACTGAAAATCACAATATAAATGTTCAAACCAGACCTCAATCTGTCTCAGAGTCCTACTTTGTTCAAATGATCCAGAAGATCTGTTTAGGTGACTTAAAGGGTCCTCATGGTTCATGTTTTTATTTTGTGCCTCGACTCGACTGTGACGTGTTTGCATGCTTTAATGTTCAAAAATTGCTTTGGGAACTTTGTGAGGATTGCCTTTGCAGACCATGTACATGCACCAAAACCTATAGAACAGGACAGAGAAAAACCCGAAAAAGAATAACGGGGCCCCTTTAATGAAATGCATTAAAGCACCATGATTTCAAATGGGAGGAGAACAGTCTTTAGGCTCCATCTAGTGGTCTTATCATGCAAGACGACAAAACACATTTTACCTATGGGGATTGAACTATTACCTCCAACAGTCAGGTATCATTGAGTAGAATCCCACAATTGAATAATAATAATAAGGGACACAAATCTCCGTGTGCAAATTCAGTTTTTACTTCCAGTTTGTCTTCTGAACAGCACTTAAGTGTTTCCAGAGTGAGCTGAAGTCTCACACCAGGTAGTTGGCGAACGTGTCGCCTCGAGGCTGGACGTCCACCACCTGTTTTTGGAGGGAGTGAGTAGGCAGGACGGGTGGAGGAGATGGGACTGTTGACAGATATAAGGTTAGTTAAACACTCTGAATACAGCCCTTGTAAATATATTTTTGAAATATTCAAGGCAAGCACTTTGAAAACCATTATAATAAATCTAATTGAAACACTATTTAAAGTTGAAATGCTCTTACCTTGATTTGCAAATGGGACGTTGAACTGTTGTCTCCCTCTTGAGAACATCTGTGAATAAACATAGTATTGTTGAAAGCTCCACTTTCTCACCTTTTGTTAAGGGTTTGGATTCATTGATTAAAAATGCTGTTCTATTTTCATGGAAAACCTTCGAATAGACTTTCATTGTCCACTTTAATATAGGTTATATACCTTGCTATGGCTTAAAATGGATAAGGAGCTTGTTGAATTAGTGTCAAAGTCAGCTCTACTTTCCCCCCTTTAGTCCTCACCTCCTCACTGGACTCAGAGCTGGAGCTGGAGCTGGAGGAAGAGCCACGGCCACATTTGAGAGACACCACCTGGGTGGAGTCGGCCGACACTCGAAGCCGACTGGAGCAGGAGAAGGTCGGCTGCAGTGAAGGAGGAAAGAGCGGTATATTATTCACAAGGCAGAACAGATCTGATCAGAACACTCTGTCCCAGTAAATCAGTGCCAACTCAAACAGTGGGCTGCAGCAGTCTGTCAACATGTGTCCCTCCCAGAGATAAGATATGAGTATTGTACAAGTACACTTTAACATTCAACAATCGGACACATGTTTTATTTGCTTTTTGCCGTTTGGCGCATTCTCTTTTTGTGTTACACCCATGTGGCAGCAATCTAAAACGAACCACAATAAGATCCCTGACATTGAATATCTCACCGCAAAGAACCCGGGTCTGAAGGCACATGTCTGGGGGTCTTGTCTTGAGGCCTTCACACACTCCGTCTCTTTAATGGCAAACACCATCTGCAGGTCTACGGTGTTCAGGCCCATGGGAATCACCTGGCATGTGATATTTGTTATAATCGAAGATAAAACAAAGATGGCATGACCTCTATTCTGTAAATAGCCACTGCAATTATTTCCTGCAACAACAATTCAAAAATGACCACAGAAACTGCAGTTTAAAATCCTTTAAGGTTGAATGTGCTGACCTTTGTGACGGAGCCTCGAGTCGCCCGGTAAAGATGGCTGACGGCGTACACAGAGTTGACCCTGGCTAGAGCTACTGTGAGCCCCCTGTCTGCCATGGCCCCCAGCTCAGAGTCATACAGAGGGACTCCTGCATAGATGTGGAGAAAGTCTGTCACTGAGTCTCCTCATGAAGTGCTGCAGACGGAGATCCACTCACCTGAGCATCGCACAGCCTGCAGCAGCGCCAACAGAAGCACGTAGGACTTCATCTCCGAAACTTAAAACCTGTCTTTCATTTTCTGACTTCTAAATATATCCAGATTTTTTTCTAGCAGCCCGATGCGCCTCCTTTTACCCTCAATAACCTTTCAAATGAACTCCCTCCCCTTCTCTGTCACGCTTCTTTCACTCAAGACCTGCTAACCTTTGTTCAGCAGTATTGATCCCAGGGTGATGTCCTGAATGAAGTGAGCTCTACGAAAACAATGTTGACTCAGGACAGATGGCGCAGAGGGATATGTGACGGGTCAGAAGACCTGAGGTTGTGTGTTTGAACCCCCGTGATGCTCAGGGATTTTTAAAGAGCTTTACTCAAAATGATGAGGATAAATGCGTCCAGAGAACAGGTCTTCATGTACGTGAGTTGGTGGCTATCTGGGTTTGTTCTCGACACTTAGGCGCCTTAGTGCCGAGAACAGATCTGCTGCTTAGCATGTGCGGGGTTCGAGTCTACTAGAGGCAAGGTAGCTAATAAAATAGGTCCAAAATAGAGAAATAAAATAGGCCAACAAAATAGGTGAAAAGTAGAATAAATAGAGTTCAAAGATAGGACAGGTGACCAACTAGAAAAGCATAGAGAAATACGGGTAATGTAAACATTGAGCTCAATGTGGGGATCAAAGAGTCTTTTCTTTTCTAGATACTTAACTCTGACCGTTTGCCCTATGACTCTGTACTGAGTTTACCAAATGAAAGGTTTATCGCTCAGAGGGATAGAAGACTGACCGTGAGACTGCAGGCTATGGGTTCAAGGCTTTTCAGGTCCAGTCGTCTTAGATGAGACGACAACTCATGCTATCTGCCCATTATTTGTATCCGTCTACTAAAATACTCGCATCTCATACTTAAGTAAAAGTAATAATACAGCAGCGTATGGAAATAAGTCAGTTTAGTAAGGCACAAAATGTTTATTTAAAAAAGTCACACTTAACTATGTAATTATTCAAAAGTAACAATAGTAGTCACAACATTTTTTTTAAATTACAGTTGAAAAAAGTCAGTATAGTTTGTCTTGAAAATAAGTAAAGTATATAAAACACATTTCATAAAGAAGTACGTCAGATTAAATGTAATAAAGGTCGTATGTCATCTTTTTGAAATGTTATACTATGACTTTTTTATATTGTTCTACATGCTGTACTATGACTGTTTACATCTTATTTCAACAAACTATACTACAGCTTTATTTCTAACAACTATACCATTACTTTTGATTCCAGAAATTCCATACTATGACTTTTAAAAGTTGTTCACAACATATTAGATAGTGTTTATGTATTATTTAATAATAAATAAACACAGGAATAAATAATTATAATAAAATGTATTATTGAATATATTTATTACAGTGTTAATTTATTATTTGTATGTATTCCTGCATTTATTTATTTCTGTATTATTTAGTTAATTTATTCCTGCATCTATTTGATCATGCCTGTGTGAGATTTGAACCCTATTTTGTAGTCAGGGCAGGAATAAATTAACTAAATAATACAGAAATAAATAAATGCAGGAATACNTCTGTAACAATATATCTTCAACCAAATGAAGAAATTGGAATTTTAGTCATTGGACGTCCGGCGCAAACACTGATTAGTACATTTTAACGGTTTCTTCCTGTGTCTTATCGTTTTAAATCAATTTGGTTTGGAAGCTCAATGACCAAACTCCCAAGATCCCACACTGCTTCACATCCATCACTTTGTTTTGATTGCGAGACCTCTTTAGTGGGAGGGAAAAATGACCAATCATTGTGAGTTGAACCACTCGACATGACCATGTCAGCTGTCTTCTCTTTGTGTGTATAGGCTATACGAGATGGATCTTCCATATCTTATACATCCACACAAACACACGCCACCTCTGGCTTGTGTGTATGTTCTCTGTGCCGGCGGTTCTGGGCCCGATTTGAGATGAAATACTGGTTGGGTCTGGATCCCGTCTTCAGCTACAACGCACAGACTTAGCGTCCCTGAGTCCACGTGTAGACCACCTCGGACCCGGATAGGCATCTGCAGAGACAGGAAAAGAGACGAAAGGACATGAAGTTAGCTTACATTTTTTTTTTATTTCACAATTTCATTTGTAACACAGAAACATTCCAAATGCAGATGGAGCGCCCTGTCGTCTCTGATATAACATGCGCAGAATGGAACGTCTGTGTGCGAGTCTTTCTTAGCCTTTTATGATAACTAGGACCGGCTTAAATCCAAAAAACACTAAATGTTGTTTGCATGCCTCCTCATGTGTGTGTGTGCGCGTGTGCGTGTGCGTGTGCGTGTGCGTGTGTGTGTGTGTGTGTGGTGTGTGTGTGTTGTGTGTGTGTGTGTGTGGTGTGTGTGTGTGGTGTGGCGTGTGTGTGTGTGTGTGTGTGTGGTGTGTGTGTGTGGTATGTGTGTGTGTGTGTGCGCTGTGGGGGATATTTGAGTGTATTTTTTGTTTAAACCACACCTTCTGGGTCAGAGGTGAGCTCGCCTGTCGGCAGGAACCCAGGCCGAGGTCAGATTAACTGAAAGTGTTGCATCACACGCTGATGAAAAACAGAGCTGCCAACTCTGAAGCTGCTTCCTCATTCTTATCTCATGTTTCAACAGCGGACATCCATTCTATCCCGGCGCGCGGGGCGCTGAGGCCTGAGGGCCGACTCAGAAATAGGGCAACTGTTTTTGGGTCTGAGGACGGACACGGTTTGTTGGTCTTTATCTGTTTGTTGTTCAGCTGCAGATTCCAATCATAGCTTAATAGAAAAGAGGGATACTATTGGTGTCATTGGTTTGTAGTGATTTTTGTCACGGTTTTCAAATCAGCCTCATATCAAAGTGCTTGACACACGTATGTAAGGATGGGAGCAGGAGGAAGCAGCGCTGTGAAAAGGAGAGGACGCTGCTTGTAGAAGATTGCTTAATTGTTTATATTTCTCTTAAAAGGTGGGATAGGTAAGTTTGAGAAACCGGGCTCGAGATACACCTTTGTTATATTCCATGGAATGCTCTTAACATCCCCGATTAGCAAATGAACTAATCTGAAGTGCTTTGACACAAAAAATCCATTAAAACAAAATATTCATCTGTGGAGAGCGTAGCGCTACAAAAAGCACCGACGACGCACTACTCAGTCTGAGCCGGCCGGTCTAAAGGTAACTGGAATGGCCTACCTGCTGTCAGCCTTCCATCTGTGCAACAAACTTATTCTCTGCCCTCATTGCGTCATGTGCGCGTTCGTGGTGTTGTTGGAGCGAGGGGCTCTGTGAGGAGGAGGCAGATTTCTTCCGGCTGTGTATTTTCAAATTCTAGCGCACTCGAGCTGGTTTCTTCAAAATGACCTACCCCACCTTTAAGGCTGCTGCAAAGAAAGGAAAGCTATGATATCCTTTAACATGAAAATTACTGCTTTCAGTGTCACACATGCACGCAATCTGAAAAGATGTGTTGAATTTCTGTCGCTCAATGTCACAAAAGTTGGCGGGCATTAATGAAATCATAAGTCTATTTTTTATCCGTTTTCCGGCTTCAGTTTGATTAGTTTTGTTGTTTCAGTTCATGAAAACCACCCTCATGTCAAGTACACACTCATATCCATTTAGGACAAACCAAAGCTGCATAAAAACATCAGATTTGAACCTTTTTCCTGATTTTCCCCGTTGCGTTGGCCTTGTGTAACAGCCGGGGTATTCCTGTCCTCCTGATAACATCTCCACTTCCTCTCGGTGCTCACTTGGCAGCTGTGCAGCGGAGAGGAGTGTGTGCAGAGTTTAAATGTAGGCACTGTGAGGCCAAAGGCTAGGGCCCTTAATTTTAGGGTAGTTAGATTGCAATGAGGGATTATTGGGGAATTTCATTACGCAATGGAAGAGCTAAAGACTTTGGCAGGAAAGACGGTGCACCTGTGCCAACTTTTCAACAGGTCACGCTTAATGCTCCCGTCTTATGTGTGAGGCGAGCGGCTCCTCCAAACTCACCACTTCCTGTTCGGTGCGCTGCATTAAGACTAATGGAAATACATGTAGAGGATTCACCCACATGCGTTTCTCCTAAACAACACAAGGTACCGATAAAAGTCCGGGTGACACACAAGGGAATTCAAGCATCCCAGTTAAATCAGATTTTAACTGAATGGAATGAGAGCTGGACAATCAAAAGTGAATGATAGCGTTAAAATTACAGCTGCACTGATTATTAGATTGATTGCTTATTCCAAAAACTATTTTAATCATCAATTTACCGTTAAACCTCTGCTTCAAGTTCTATATCATAGTATTGAATATCTCGTGGTTTTAGACGGACAAAACCAGAAGGGATCAACATTGGTCGTCTTCCAAAATCAGCCAATTAAATCCATTTACTTTGTTAAGGTTAGGAAAGTAAAAAGGATAGTAAAATACATATTCTGTTATGTTTAAATCGAACTGTACAGTTTGCTTAAATGAAAGAAAAGCAACAGTTGTCAATTAAGCCGGTGAAATTGGCTCGAAATGAGAAAAATAAGGCTTGTTGTCAACAATGGGGTTCATTACTCCAACAAGTGCAAAAGGTAACTTGAGGACAGCCTTGAGAAAGCAAATGGATGACGTGTAGACTTTTAAGTGTCTATCAAGATTTTGTGACCTCGTTAAGACCCCCTAAGTCAGGGGTGTCAAACTCAATTTCATCGCGGGCCACATCAGCATTATGGTTGCACTCAAAGGGCCGGTTGTAACTTTAAGACTATATAAAAATACATATATAAATATATCATATATATAAAATAATGTATTATTACATTATTGCCTCTGCATTGGATTATTACCGGATAGGTTAATAACTTCATAATTAACTACGTCTGAAAGCAGAAGTCTCTTCAGTGAGAATGTTACAAAATGATTGAAAAAGTTCTGGAGGAAAAATATTTTTGAAATAAAAAGTAACATTTTGAAGAAAAAANGCTTGAGTAAAGGAGGGGGGGGGTGAGTGGGGGTTGGGGCGTTGAAAGGCATCTGCTTAATACTCTTATGTAAAACGGAACTGTAATACACTTCAGTCTCTAGTAGAATCATTAATAAAAGTGTGGATTTCCCCTGGCTTTTTTATTTATTGTGAAACCTGCTTTTGCTTTTAAGCAAAGGGTTAACGGGTTCGCTGCCTGCATGGATGCAGGGCTGAAATGTGGATAAGTTAGTTGAATATTTGATAGAAGATAGAATAAAAAGCCGCTTATCTGGCTAGCAAAAGTCTTATCACACATTAAATTAACAACACTAGAGAATACCTTAATATCTTTGCACGCAACATGTATACAAGTCAAAGATAAATATACTAAACGAAACGTCAAGAATACTGAATCAGATCTGACGTGTGCAATAATATATATGTATAATTTACTATCAATACTTTTAGGGGAAGTGCAGATTAGATTCAAGCTGCACTTTTTGTAAACAAACCAACCTATTCATTTAAACATGCATTGTACCCCGAAATGCACTGTGTTTGTACTTGAGGCCTCCATGAAGCACGTGCAAATGCAATTCTCACTATATTTTAAATCATGCAAGCAAGCTAGCCGTGTTCTGTCGTCAATTGTTGTCCAAATAATCCATCAAAAGTTGCCAATTCTTAAGCATAATTTGACCACTTTTGGCCTCCAGTGACATCGCTTAAAGCCACCAACTGCTACTTCCTTTTTTACGAATAATGGAGCAAAGATTTGAAATGTCCATTCTCTTTCTGTAGAAAAGCACCTTTAACTTCCACATGTCATGAATAGTCCAGATCCTTTTACAGGAATTTATAAATCTTACAGTTAATTTTAAAGTATTTCTCCGCCCCTAAACAATCAAACCGCCGTCTGGTGTTCTGATTATTACAAGAAATACGAAACATTATCTGTGAATTCCTTTTAGCCGAAGGACTAACGGCGGTAAATCATCATTCATGCAGCTCCGAGCTGTCTGGAGAGCGTCCAAATCAGAGGAGGGAGTGCTGATGAGTTTGAGCTCAGGGGTCACGCTCAGACCAGTTGGTTCATTTACTCTCTCTTTGCGTTTCACTCTCTTGCTCAGAACTTCCACAGAGCAAATATGACACTCTTAGCAACATGCTAACATGCTATAAATGGAATAAATCCAGCTTGGATTCACCTGACAAGTGTTACTGGAGGTGGAAATCACAGATGTGTGAAAACAGCCGGCATGTTTTCACAATCTGAAACTATTTTTGCAACTTTAGCATCAACTTCTTAAAGTTTTTTGTACTGCATGTACCTGCTACATGACGTTCTTATGCATTTTCAAGAAGGTCTGGCAATGGTCATTAAACGTCTCAAATGCTGCAGTCTGTTGCTCTGATTAAAGTCACATGGAGTTAACTATTGTTCCCTCGCCTGATTAAAATAAGTCTGGAAGCCCCCCTGCTGTTAATTCAGTCTAGACAAAGTAATGAAGCACTTGTAAACCTGACATTCAAAACAGGCAGTCAAAAGTTAAAGCTCGCCTGGCCTTCCTCGCTGTTCCTCTGCTCGCTCTAACGGCAAGGCTTTAATAAGATAGTCTGTTTAGTTATTCCTGGATAATAAATCTTGAGACCTTCGTGTATAGCTGAAAATATTGTTTGCATGTGCAGTTCAGAGCCTTTAATTAGCAGGTCTAATCTTAGACCACACTCCCGTTTGAGGACATGAAGAGATTATCACACAGGTTTCTCTTTGAAGACATCTTTGGGGATATGACTTCTGCTCTCTCACACACCAATATCCTCCTTAAAATAACTCCCGGCTCCAAAGTGGATAAGATGTGCTGTATTGCGGTGTGTCGGGGCTTTAAAGAGTATATGCTGTGGATTATTTTAGCTCATTTCCTAGAGGATTATCTCTAGTTTGGACGTCTCTGGTTTACCCTTCAGGGCAAAATGCTGCTCTAAAAAACTCACCAGTTGACCAGCATGGCAGCGTCGTTCCCCGCGATGAAAGGAAGTTCCCCTCGGACGTGTGGAAATACAAATCCTTGGGAGAAAAGCAGTAAGATCCACCAGAGGAACATGTTCCTCCTCATTCCTCTGCCCCCAGTCCTGTCGGGATCCATGCATCAAGGGCGAAGGTGACCCCGGGGTGTCCCAGGTCGGCAGCGCCTGGACGTGTCTGGATGTTTCCGGCGATAGGAGAGGTTGACACTGTGATCCAGACAGCCTGGAGTCATGAGGGCGTCAGAGGGCCCAGGTGATGGGGTCTCACTCAGAACCACCGGTGTTTGGGACCTCCTGACTGCGGCATGGCTGGGATAAGCTTTGCAGATATTTACCTCTCGTTTTAGTTTAAGCCTCGGTGCATTTTCTGAGTTCTTCTACCCCCATCAAGAACGCTTCACCATTATTCCACAGACAGCTGTCAAACAACAAAAAGTATTTAAATAAAATGTCCACACTCCGTTAGCCCCCCTCCATCCCACCAGTGATTAGCAGCGGCGAGTGTCCCTCTCCGTGGCTCTCAGTGTGTGTGTGTGTGTGTGTGTGTGTGTGTGTGTGTGTGTGTGTGTGTGTGTGTGTGTGTGTATGTATCAGCAGTTGGAAATCATGCTTCATGTGTGTCTCAGTGTGTGTGTGTGCGTGTGTGTGTGTGTGTGTGCGTGTTGCTGCCGGGATTGGGAGGGCGTGACTATGGGCTCTATGAGGATCCCGGGACAGGAAGCCTCACCCCTCCTCACCCCCCCTCTCTCTCTTTCTCTCACTGATGGCAGGATGCAGATTGTAACCAGGGATTAGGGAGGTTCAAAAATCCGATTTTGCCTGGAGAAAGCCGTGTGTGTGTGTGTGTGTGTGTGTGTGTGTGTGTGTGTGTGTGTGTGTGTGTGTGTGTGTGTGTGTGTGTGTGTGTGTGTGTGTGTGTGTGTG